CATGAAATTTTCAAATGTTTTCCCTTTTCGGGTAAACTTGCTTGGCTTCCCTCTTATTAAAAAAAAAAGTTTCATTTTTCTTTATTATGCAAGTAGTGTCTTTTCAGCATGTATATTATTAAATACAGATAAGCAAAAAGAATTAAAATCATCCATAATCTCTACCATGCCAAGATAATCGTTGTTACTACTTTGGTGCAGACCTTCGCAGACTTTTTTCCTAAGTGTATTGGTGGATGGTTTTTTTTTTTTAATTTATTTATTTATTTATTTATTTTTGGCTGTGCTGGGTCTTCATTTCTGTGCAAGGGCTTTCTCTAGTTGTGGCGAGCGGGGGCCACTCTTCATCACGGTGCGCGGGCCTCTTCACTGTCGCGGCCTCTCGTTGCGGAGCACAGGCTCCAGACGCGCAGGTTCAGTAGTTGTGGCTCACGGGCCCAGTTGCTCTGCGGCGTGTGGGATCTTCCCAGACCAGGGCTCGAACCCGTGTCCCCTGCATTGGCAGGCGGATTCTCAACCACTGCACCACCAGGGAAGCCCTGTGGATGTTTTTAACAAAAATGTAGCATGTCTTTTCATATGGTTATTCCAGTGCATTTAAAATTATTTGATTTTGTGCATAAAGAGATACCTGGAGGAATGGTCACCAAAATGTTTCTACTGGTTCTTAGATGGTGAAATTTGGGGTGATTTGTGTTATCTTCTTATCACTTGAGTATTTTTAGTGAGTTTGTGTCATTTTCTTGGAAACCATAGTTTTTCATTTAGCATTTTATTTACACAGAGCTGTGATCATGCAGCAAGAATCCATCCACTCACTCATCAAATATGTATCTGTTATGCATTAGATGCTATGTGTGAACACTGGGTTAGCACGAGGAAGCACGTGGGCCTGCCGTCCAAGAGCCCCGAGCCTAGTGGGAGACGTAGCCCGGGCACCAGCTGTCGTCTACGGAATTCTGTGGGGGCCTCAGAGCAGAACCTGAAAGCCTGGGGGGACCACTGGGCCAGGGAGGCAGGAGGGCATCTGTGCAGGTCTGGAGGCACGTGAGCTGTTTGAGGAGGACAAGTTCTGTGTAGCTAGACATCGGCATCGGCGTGTTGGCGAGAGAGGAAGCTGGGGAGACACAGAAAGTAACGAATGGAGGTGAGGACAGGCAGGGTGAGACACCTACCCCAGACCATGGTGCTGGCTGGTTGATGGGGGCAGACACAGAGACAAGGGACACAAGCGTATTGGGGAGAAGCACGGGAGGAAGGCGAAGAAGCAGCGGCCATGATGCTGAGCTGCAGAGCATGGGCCACCTGTGGAGGCCCCACACCTCTGCCCTGGGGATCATCAGCTGAGACCAACCTGACAGCTGAGATGGGCTCGTCTCCCAGCTGGACGGTGTACCCGAACATACTACTCCCGCTGAGCAGCCAGCCCCTCTTGCGGGGTCTGTGGGCGGTGCCCCTCCGTGTCAGTCACTCCACCACACGGGGTTCAGGGAGCTGCTGGCCAAGTGGGAGCAAATGTTCTTAAGTAGGGAAGTAACGTGAGTCAGATGTGTGGGCTGTGAGCTCGTGCATGTGCTCAGCACTCCGCCAGAATCTGTGAAGAGACTGATTTACATCGAGGAAAGTAAGTCATTGCCTACAAGGAATTTATTACCTAGTTACACAGATAATTAACATGCATGGAGCAACACTGAATAAATAAAAAGAAAAGTAGGCAATTGGTGGGCTGCCAAAGAAATCCCAAGTGAGATGCAGTTGAAAAGGACCTGAGCAAAGGCTCTTGTGGTCAAGACATCTTCATGGACAGGGAAGTTGGGCTTCGCTTGTGAAGACTGAGCCAGAACCAGCCCAAGGCACGTGGGACGCTGTTCCAAGTGGGCAAATGAGAGGAGACTGAGTTTGATATTTTTGTCCAACTGCGAGGTAATGGACCCAAACAGAGGGAACTAGTTTCAAGGTTTATTGTGTCAAGGTGATGGCTTTGAAGCAAGTGGAAACTTTCTACCTAAGTCCATTGGCAGAGTTTTCGCCCTTGCTCCTCGGAGGCCTCGCGGTGGCCCATCTGGGGAGGCATGGGCCACTGGGAAGCTGGTGGCTCCCAGCCCTCACCCCTCCAGCCATAGGAACTCTGCTTTCCTTTATTCCAAGTGAGATTTTGTTGAAATAGAGGGAATTATTTGAAACCACTGCAGTAGTAAGCAGAGAGCCCTGTAGATTTTTGAACAAAGGTATACCGGGGGCTGTCACCCTGCCTAGTATGAATTGGATCAAGAAGGCCATTGAGGATACCTTTGCAGTGGAAGTGGTTACCAAAAGGCAGTGGAAGAGGTGCCTTGCAAGAAGCAGGAAACACGAGCTACACTTGGGGAAGAGATGAGTGGGCCCTGTCTCTGAGGGTTCGAGCTCTGATGGAAGAGAATCCACGGGGACTCTTGGAGTGAGGACACATGCTACAGGGGAGAAGAAGATGGCAGTAATGAGGATGAGCTTGATTTTAGACATGTTAAATTTGAGCTGTGAAGATAGCAAGCAAGGGGTGAAGGCAGGTTGGGTCATCTTGTAAGATCCAGAAGCAGAGTCGCCATTGTTGCAGTCAGGCTCCACACAGTGGGCAGTGCTGGAAGCTGTAGGTGAACCCAGATGTCGGAGGAGGTGAGAATAAATCCAACGGCAGACAGCGGTGATGAGGAGTTTGAGGAGGTGGCATGCATTTTCCAAGGAAGTGTCTGCTGGCTCTCTGCTGCATCTCCTTTGGAAGTGCTATCCACTTTATTTTGATCTCCATTTTGCATATGAGGTTAACCTGGGTGACTCAGAGCAGAGAAACAAGACACCAGAAGTTACCCAGACATGCACTGCTGGGACTAGAGTTCGTTTTTCTCATCTCCCAGTTCCATGATCTGTTCCTAAACTATAGCTTTTTGTGCTTTTCACATAAAAGTTAGTCCTTGATTAACACTGTGGGTTTAAATTTTAAAAGAACCACCTTGATTATTAATGAAATTGGGGGGAGGGGGAGGTAGAAACTTGTGTAATGAAATGTGTCCTGGGCTTGACACTCTGTGCTGTGCCTTTCTCCGTGGCCCTGCATCGCTGACCCAGACAGCTTCCAGAGCGGGTTGGGTTTTGACGTCCTTAGGATCAACTACAGAAAGGAAAACGGAAACAAGTAGTTTCTGAAGTGACTTACTTCTTTCTTTATTTTTTTTTGAAGTGACTTAATTCTACATGACATGAAAAGGGAGGGAAGTGGGACTCACTTCCACCTTTGTCATCCCAGGCTGCCGAATGCAGATGGGTCTTGCAATGATTGGTTGATTGATCACTTTGAATGGTTCCCAGGTCTGTCTGAAATCAGTCGGGCAGATGGCTTGGTTTGTGGTTTCATGATGAGCTTTAGTGAAAGACATCAGTAGAATTTTCAGGAGATCATAGTGGGAGTCTTCGTTTTGCATTTATCTGCCAGCGATTGTCACAAGATGAGGATTTTAAAAACACACCTAAATGCACACGGACCTCCACCTGACAAGGAGTGGCCTCTGTTCCCTCCGATGGCTCGGCCACAGTGCTGGCAGCAGGGCAGCTCCTCACTGCTGAGGACGCAGCGGCCTTTCCCAAGGGTCAAACCCCAAGGAGCCAGCTGGGGCTGTGTTGCTTCACCTGACTTAAGGGGCCCTGCACACACCCATGATGCGCTTGGTCCAGGTTTGGAAATAGACCTCAGCAGACCCTCCTTCTTCCAAGAACACCGTCCTGTCACCACCAGCTGTCAGGGCGAGAGGCAGGTGAGTGGGCAGAGGAGTGGCATCCAGTGCTGACTGCGTGCAGATGTGAAGACAAGGAGAGTGTCGCCACTGCCTCACTGCGGGGCTTTCCTCCTGATCGGCTCTCCTTGTACGTGTTCTGTGTAATTATGACGGCACGATATTTGTCCCACTTCTTTACTTAATGTTACAAAGCAGTCTTTTCCCCATATCATTAAAATATTCATAAACAACAGTTTAATAGCTTGTAGTTATTTCATTGTGGTTGTTCCATAATTAATCATTTCTCTATTATTGGTCACATAGGTAGCTTCTGACTTTTCACTGTTATAAATAAAACACTGCAAAACATACCTTGTTTCCACATTCTTCGTTTCTGGTTCAAGATTGATTCTTGGGAGCAGACTTAACTGAGGAAAGGATACAGATGTTTTCTGTCCTTCATGTGTCTGTCCTTTCCAGAAGGATTGTGCCAGCTCATACACCCAAAGGCGTTGTATGTGAGTGGCCGCAAATGGAGCACCACTCAAAAGAGTGTCGCCCAGTTGTCTGTTGCGTTTTTTCTTCCTGTGCTCGAATTTCCCCACAGGGGGCGGGGAAGCAAGCCCAGCTCCCCTCACACACCCCACTGGGAGGCCTGTGATGCTGCTGGCCCACCTCTCACATCCTCACCGCTGGCATTTTCAGTCCAGCGATGCTGCGCCCAGGACTACGTGTGAATGTAAGAGGTGGAATCTAGGCCTGACTAGGTCTGTTTTGATGTTGAACAGGTGAATGATTGTGTGGTGAAGAGCTGGGCCCACAGAGGTCTTCCCGTTGCCCTCAGCATCTGGGAGGTGACCCGTGTCCTGCCCGACAGGAGTGTCTTGATTAGGGTGTGGGGCCCGTCCACTTGGAGGCTGAGAGCAAGGCTGTGGGGGGCTCCAGGGCCCCGGGGGCCTGCCTGGTCGGCAGAGCTCTGTGCCTACTGTCACACGGGGGTGCCAGAGGGGCCCACCCGCTGCTCCTGTGCAGATGGGGAAGGGAAGAAAGTGAAGTGGAGGCTGAGTTTTAAGATGTGAGGTTAGACGTACAGGAGTCTCAAAGATCACAGCGAGGCAAGTAGGTCCTCCTGGCATGGCCGAGTCACCCCCCAAGCCCCTTCTGACGCGTTGTCGTCCCCTCACCCCTCCTCTTCCCACCTCCTACTGCCTCTGTCACCTGTTTCCATCTCCATGACTGTTTTGTGTTTCCTAGGATTCCCGGGCGGCTGAACGACAGGAGGACCCCCCTGGGCGAGCTGAACTGGATCTTCACGGCCATCACGGACACCATTGCATGGAACGTGCTTCCTCGGGGTGAGGCTGCCCAGCTGTGGACTGGCGGGAAGGCTGCTGCCCCGGAGTCAGGAGACTCTGGCGCGGGGGTGTGAGAGAAGTCAAATGGGAGGACTGAGTTCCCCTCAGTGAAGAAACCTGAGGATGTGGGCGGGAGAAGGAAGGGACCCCAAAGGTTCTGAGAGGATGAAGTGAATCGCGCATCAGGTCGAGAGCAGTGCTGCAGGGCGAGTTCAGAGTGGTATCTGCTCGGGTCCTTAGTGTTTTTGGGGCAGACTCAGGGCTCATCTGCCTTCAGAGTCACACACCATCCATATTTCTTAAAACCCAAATTACTACTATAGTATAAGACACGTTTATGTTTTTCTGTGACCAGTTGGTTGGGTTCTGCTGTTTGTTCACATTACGTGTGTCATGTAGGTGCTGCCAGTGGGGAATGTGCATGTCAGTTCCAACCTGCTTGTTGCAACTTCTGGTAGAAGGATAGTAAATTTGTATATTTGGCTTTAAATGCTGGACGTGAGTCAGTGGAGTCACCTTTTTATCTTTTCTCTGCCCTCAGATCTCTTCCAAAAGCTCTTCAGACAGGACCTATTGGTGGCTAGTCTGTTTCGAAATTTTTTATTGGCGGAAAGGATCATGAGGTCGTATAACTGCACCCCCGTCAGCAGTCCACGCCTGCCCCCCACGTACATGCACGCCATGTGGTAAGTGTCTCTCTCAGACCAGCATCAGATTCTCTAAGGAGCATGGTTTTCCCGTTTCTGCGATAGTCCAAGTGTAAGGGAATTATTTGAACAAAATAAGAAGACGTGGCTCCAAACGTGGAGGCCTGAGTGGTGTACACGAGTTAATAAGGTCGACCCTCAGCTCTGCCTAAGTCCCCTGCAGAAGTGCAGGTGCCTCTAAGGGTCATCCAGGGCTGAGCGGGACCAGTGCCTACAGAGGCCCTGCAGTTCATAGCTCAGGGCGGAGAGGGCCTGCGGGTGAGTTTCTGACTCTGTAGGGATTTGTATTGAGGAAAGAAGCTGCCAGCTGAATTCATGAAGTATATCCAAGATTGCTCCAGAGAATTAAAAGTGTTGGGTTCATGACCAGTTAATTTGCACGCTTATTTCACACATATACACATGCTGACACACACACACACGCACGAGTGTGATCTTTATGATACTTGTATGTTGATTATAAATTTCCTTCAAAACTGGATTACTGGGACTTCCCTGGTGGTCCAGTGGTTAAGACTCTGTGCTTCCAATGCAGGGGGCCGGGGCTCAATCCCTGGTCAGGGAACTAGATCCCGCATGCTGCAACTAAGAGCCCACATGCCGTAACTAAAGATCCCACATGCTGCAACGAAGATTCCAAACTAAGACCCGGCACGGCCAAATAGATAAATAAATATTAAAAAAAAAGACAAAACTGGGTTACTGCTCTTTACACTACTGCTAGTAGTAAGTACAGTATGATAACAGCAGTAATAATGGAAATTGTTTTGAATCTAGATGTTATATCTGAAGGCGTTTGGTTTCTTCCTGTTTCCTTGCTTTTGTGACACAAGCAGAATTTGGGGAAGTACTAAAATGGGGCGGTAACAAAGGAAAATGTGTCTTAGTCATATCCAGAGAGAAATCCTAATACAAAATATTTAAAAAGAGTAATTCACTTAGGTTTAGCCCTAAAAACCATTCTATGGTGTATTTTCACGGTCAGGTTTATTTTGGATAGTGATTTTTTTTTTTTTTTTAATATGTGCATGACCAGTTTCCCCTGACTCTGTAAACCCAGAGAACTAAGAAGGAGGTGGTAAACTCACCTGCTCTCACCCACTCAAGGAAAATCAGGAGTTAACATTCTTATCTGTGAGATAAATCAAGATGCACTATGCTGGCCAAGCACCAGACTATAATCAGAAATCAAGTTAAAACATGCCTCATCCATACCCTTCGGAAGAGCTTATGGAATAAACTGGAGAAACAGAGAAATAGGAGTAGACTGCACGAAGAGTCTCTGTGCAGCAGTTTAGATCCTATGTGAACAGACTGGCAGGACAGCAGACGCAGTTTCCTTCACTCCATGAAGATTAGAACTGGGGAGGTGGGGTTGAAAAGCCTCTCTAATGCTTAGGATAAATAATTAGAAAGAAAACCCACATTTCTGAAGAAGGAGATCCTCAAAACAGCCTTATCCTTTAAGTAAAGTGATGCCTTAAATTCTATTTTTTCTGAACCAGGTTTTTATAAAACATTTATTATTAAAAAGGAAAGAAAAAGAAAAAAGAGCTGAACAGGGTCAGTGCTGCGACTAGTCATGGATGGAAAACTAGTTAAGCCACAGGAAATGGGCATCACACCAGCTGCCCAGTGTGAATGGCCTCCTGGGTGACTGGGGCCACTGGCCAAGCAGTTCCCCCCAGGAGGAAGAAATACAGGGTGGACGCGAGGCGCCAGCTTTTAGCGAGAAGCTGCCTATGTCCTTCCCTCCATCTGCCCACCCCACCAACAAGTCTGTGGGACAGTCTTCCTTCTTGTGCATGTTTCTCTGGATATAAAACTGCCTCCTCTAAGATGTGCTCAGCTGCAAAGAGTAAAAAACAACGTGTTGTCCCAGAGAAGAGAGTAAGGAGCACAGCCTGAGCAGAGAGCAGACAGAACAGACAGGGAAGATGACAGCAGGAGAAGGGGACCCAGGGAGGAAGCACGCAGAGATGGCTGGTGCGGAACAGTCACACCTGTCTCTCTTCATCATCCCACAGATCCTTCTCTAGTATTGGCCTCTTAGAACATTTCTGAATTCTGGGATTTGTATAAGTGCTGTTTAATATAAGGTCCAAAGTCTAACAGCAGTGTCTCATAATCCCTCCCGTCTCTGTTACTGATACCTTTCCATGCCCTCCTCTAAAACTAGGAATATGGCCCTCTTGCCTGCAAGTTTAGCTCTCCATGAATCTCATAAAACAAATCCTCATTTGTATTTATTTGTTGTACAGAGAAACGTGAGCTAACACAGCAACCCACAGAGGCCCAGATGAACATGTGGAAAGCCTCCCGGGTATCCTGGGGCGCGTGGAATTGCTAGCAGTCATACATGCACCCTTGGGGTCTTTCTACTTCCCTGGTTCCAACCTCCCTGCGCATTCCAGGGCCCCTCTGCAGCTGATATGCACCCTGAAGACTTGAGTACAATCTAGTCCCTCAGCCTGCATGGTCCTCCATCCTGCAAAGCGCACTGTCTGTGGCCTGATACCCTCCCCGCTCCCTTTTAGGCGAATCCTGGTTGTTGCACGTTGGGTTCTGTGGGAAGCGGACTCAGAGGTGGGGGTCAGCATTAGGATGCTGTGAGGGAGGGCTCTGGGGATCACAGCCCTGGACAGGGAGGCGGCCTGACCCCTGACCCAGCCTGGACCAGCACATTCCCAGCCGGCATTGTTGGACCCTGACATCTCCCGCTTCACTCCAGCCCCTGCTGCCCTGTCCACTTTGCATCCACCCATTCCAGCTCAGGAGAGGGACTAAGCAGGTTGCTGAGGAAGAACCAAGGAACGGGACTGGTGAGACAGTCAGAGAGACTTTGAAAAAGAATGCCATTTGTCAGAATATTAGCTATAAAAGGGGAAACCGGGGAGAATCCCAGTACCTAACAGAATGGGGATGTAATTGAGATACATATATTTGAAAAAATGTAAGCCATCTTAAAACTTTGTGAAGATTATTTATTATTATACAAAATATATGTTAAATGACAAAAACAGAACACCAGACTGTATCAGCAGTATAATTACCTCTATATTATGCATGGGAAAAGGGCTGGATAAAATTATAACAAGATGCTAATGGTGCTAATACCAGGACAGGAGGATTGGAATGAGAATGCTCCCTTTTAAAAGTTGGTAGAGGGCTTCCCTGGTGGCGCAGTGGTTGAGAGTCCGCCTGCCGATGCAGGGGACACGGATTCGCGCCCTGGTCCAGGAAGATCCCACATGCCGCGGAGTGGCTGGGCCCGTGAGCCATAGCCGCTGAGCCTGCGCGTCCGGAGCCTGTGCTCTGCAATGGGAGAGACCACAACAGTGAGAGGCCTGAGTACCGCAAAAAAATAAATAAATAAAAAAAGTTGGTAGATATTACTTTTGTAATTAAAAATCTACGTGTAGATGTTTTAAGCCTTTGAAACATTAAAAGCTATTTTTTTAAATTAAGTTATTAAGGCTGAAGTCTCCCTTGTCAAAAATGCAAAGCTGGAGACAGAAGAATCATTGTGTGCTTCTTTGCATGAAAAAAAATGTTAACTAGTAGAATTCCCTGAGGTTTAGTACCTGCACTTGATCTCATTTGGTATTTTTTAAATGTTGTAGAAAGAGCTCATTAAAATCCTGAGTTGGAAATCATTCACATGCATTAGACTCATCCCATATTTGTTACTGTACAGCAAACGTACAGCAAACCAAATGGGATTGTTACTGAAACAACAGTTGCAGGGATAATTTAATTTAACAAGTAGTTGCATACTCACTATGCACAGGGCATTGGGAGGCCTTGTAAAGAACATAAAAAGCCGTTCTAAAAAGGTATGAAATTATACCTGAGTATTTATTGAGTATCAAGCACTGGCGACCCAGCCTGGACACATTGTGCGTTTCCAGGTGGGCGTCACGCCCTTGCACACCCAATCCTCCTCGTGTCACTGCAGACACAGACTCAGGGTCGGACCATGTGGGGTCCTGGTATTGTGTCCCGCTGCCACATTTAACATGGCCCTCTGATTGGACCGTGCTACCATGTTGTAGATCTAGGGAGGAGAAAACCACTCAGGGTGAGTGACAACCTTTATTTCTTTATGACATCATGCAGAATTGTCTCATGCCAAGTCAGAGACCAGAAATACTTGGTGTAAACACTGGGTCAGGCAGCTGTATAGGGCATGCAGCCACGTTGAGGGCCACTGACTTGGTTAAGATGGAAAGACTGCCACATGTTTTCCCTCCTCCCCTGGGGGTAGTTAGAGGTAGTGGTTGGAATATCAGTTGGTAACACCAGATCCAATGGCTTTACAAATGGGGATTTGTTCCTCTTTCCTGTGTAGCTGAGTGGCTCACGGGAGGGACACGGATCTCTGCTCTTCCCCGCAGCCGTGTGTGGTGCCTGATCTAGGGAGGCTGGGGATGTGGTCTCTGTCCTGGGTGGCAGGTGTCCTGCTCAAAGTCCTGGCCTTAGGGGAGGTGGGAGAGTGGAGGGAACAGGCAGTGGGCTGAGATGCAAAGGCAGGAGAATGTGAGGCCCGGAAACCTGGAAGGCCATGCTCGCCTGCACTCAGGTTTGCCAGCTGCCCCTGAGGTCTGAGGCGCCGCATGGGCTCCTTGCCAGTGAAGCGTTGCCGTGGGCTTTCAGCAGAGCTCCTTCGGGTGATGAAACGCTCAACAACAATGCCCATAGCTCTTTCTCCCTCCTCGTAAATAGACGAAAGTTTGTACGTCCCCAGGGAGTGCACAGCCAAGGTAGTCGGAAAGAGCATTTGGAATAAATAATTTGCCAACTAGTTACTATATTCCTTGGGTGGTGATGGAGAGGTTGAATTTTCAGCAGGGGGAGGAAGGGAACAAAGCCTAACAAAAATTGAGGTTAAAACACAAAGTCATACACATTCACACTTTGCTTCAGGCAGGGGTGCCAATGATGAAATGCTCAGCACCCGGCTTCTGTTTAATTTTTGATGCAAAGCCACCAGGGAGCCGTTTGCCTTCACTTTCAATTTCAGCAGGTCCTGAAACCTTGCATTTCTCCATGGTAATAACCTGTGCGTTCCTTCCCATCGAGCGAGCCTGGCTGGCTGACTGATCGGTGCAGATGGAGCCGGGCGCTCTTGGAAGGCTGTCCTCCCAGCCCACTCCTTGGGTGCCTGCCATCTTAGGCCCGTTTCCTGAAAACCCGAGCTCTTGCCTGGATGGCACGTTCTCCAGGCCGTGATTCATCGGCAGCCCACGGCTCAGAGCCCGGCTGGTCTGCGCCTCGGGGTGGGGAGGCCCGGGATCCTCCCTCCCTGGGGGCGCAGCCTGTGCGGCTGGTCACAGGGGCTGTGGGAAGTGTGAACGCGGACACCTCCCAAGTTCCATGCTCGCCTGGGTGCCACGGCTCAAGGTTTTATAGGACTTGCTTTCCCACTTTCCCTTAGTGAGAATCCCAAATTAAGACTCCAAGTTTGTTTTGATTTTACCCTAGAAAATGTAGCCACTTTTAACCAACTTGAGTAAATGCTCAGCAGAGGGTACCGTTGTGCTGCTGAAAAGGCTGCCATGTGATCTAGGGCTTGATGGGAACTCTGAGGTCCCCAACCTGACCCTTTCCTTTTGTAGAGAATCAACGACCACAGGCCCCAGAGGGAGGCCGGCTAGCCCAGTGCCAGCCTGCTGCTCTCTGCCAGCCTCAGCCTGGGGCTTGCTGCAGCCTCACTGCTGGCTGGCAGTCTGTTTGGCCACTCGGTGTCCAGTAGATCTTAGGTGTTCTCCCACATCCTCTCCTTTCCTCCTGTCCTCCTCGGTGCCTTGAACGGAGTCCCTTGTCCCCTCTCACTTAGATAGCTGTGCCCCTCCAGTCATGGCCCTGCCTTGCTCCTGGTGACAACAGGGGAATCCCTCCTCCGGGGCTTCCTTTCAAGCCAGCAGTCTCCTCTGAGCTGCTTTTCTGGCGCAGAAGAGTGCGGCTGGTGGGGACTCAACCCCACTGAGTGATTGGACCCAGTTGGGGGGCCAGCCCTGGGGAGCCGGCAGGCCCAACGGGCCACACTCAAGATTTGCGCCCAGGCCCCGCTGCAGCTGCGTCAGGTTTTGTTTCACTCCTTGGAAAGGACTGAGGCCGACCCAGTAGGTCTCGCTAGGGCAGCCTAGTTCCTCTGATACTCTGTCTAGGACACCCCAGTAGGGACGTCTTTAATGGGTTAGAATTCTTCTTGCCTCGTGATTTTGAGGAGATAGTTCTGAAAGAGGGCACAGAAGCCAGCTTTACAGAAGGTGCAGTTTCGGGGTGCCCACTGTGTAGCAGCTGTAGCAAGACCACCAGCTGCCCTGGATCCCCTCTGCCCACTTCACCTCCCCCCAACTGTTGCACACTTTCTTCTAACTCTTGAAGTTAAAACTTTTTATTTGATTAAGTTGAAGGAATCTTTATAGAGCTTAATTGCAATAACTGACTTGACTTCTGTCTTAACAGAGAGTAAGTGTCTCCCTCAATGCTGCAGAATAACCATTTTGCCTGCAGTCTGGGCACTTACTGAGCATATGGGAGCTATTTATTGCCCGCACTTTGAGGAACTTTTGATTATCTCCTGATTGCCTCTTAATTAGATTGGTGGGGGAAGGACGTGCTTGTGCAGAAGGGGCCAGTCTGGGAAAAAAGAAATATATTCCACATATTTGAAAAATGAAAACGAGTTCTCTACTCTTTTGTTCCTCTTACATTTTTACTGTTTTTCTGCATGTTTTCATTTTTCATTCTTGTTTTGATCCTTTATTAAGACCCATGAATAGGTGCCTCTTGCACACAAACAGGCAGTTATTAGTCTAAATAAACCTAACATGGAATCCTTGAGTGTGTCAGGAAATTGCGCTGGGAAGAGATTGCAATACCGGAAACTAAACCCCTTGTTCTGACCATCACTTTCTTTCCACGAGGAGCATGTTTCTAAAAGAAAGGGGAGGTCAGAGTGAGAAAATCGTTATATCCTTGGGAATCCGCACTTGGATCTGGGACCACAGAGAAAGAAAGAGGATCGTTTGTGTCCAGTTTAGAATCAGTGTGAAACGTTGCCAGGAAATAGCAGGCCTCTGTGTGTGTCCCTCCGTGTCAGCACCCTCTGAGGCCTTCATGAGACCCTGTGTGGGAGACACTATCTTTAGCCTGCCTCACAGGTGGTGAAACTGACCCTGGGAAGGTGACACCATGACCCAGTCGGCACCACCTTGTCTTGCACATCTTGTAAGCGTGCGGAGCTGGGTCCGGCGCCACAAGAAGTTGGAGAAGGTGGCCAGGACTGCTCATCAAAGAGGCTGCTGCATCCCCAGCATACAGAGCACCACCTGTCTTGTCCCAAGTGGTTTGTGTTGGGCACAGGTGCCGACCACCCACAGAGGGATGCAGGGGCCTGGCAGTGGGTGGGCCGAGGCGGACCCTTTCTCCCAGCCCCACCTGGCCCGTCTCTGGTGAAGCGCCTTGGCCTGACCATGGCCTTTCATGGCAGGTTTGTGTGTGATGCTGCCATGGTCCGGTCACCCAGTGCCCCAGCTGCCATTAGCATGGGCAGGCTGCCACACTAGGTGGGCTCAAGTTGGGGGAAGAAACTGCATTAGAAAGTGGACAAGTCTCTTTATTTTTCCTGAGCTTTTTCTCCTTTCAATTTGAAGAGAAAAGCTGTCATAAACAAAATGCCTTTAGCTAGCTGAGAGTTCCTCACCTCCTGTGCCCTTCACCAGCGGCTCTGCCCCGACTCAGCCACCCACAGGCTGCTCTGCTGTTGGGTCCCTCTGGGTGAGCCCGTCAGTAATGCTTTTTGGGTTCCTCTCTGTTCTCCCCAGGCAGGCCTGGGACCTGGCTGTCGACATTTGTCTCTCCCAGCTGCCAACCATCATCGAAGAAGGCACGGCATTTCGGGTGAGTCCTCCCAGGGCATCCTGTGTGGTCCACTGCGGCAGCTGCTTCTCTGGCCACCTGGGCTGCAGAGCCCCTGGTCGGGTGTCGGAGACAGCCCTCACCCACCTGGGAGAAGATGCATTATCCAGAAGCTTAAAAGATTGCACCAACCAGGGGTTAAAGTTAGATTATGAAATGGTCAGCTCTTAAAAACATCTTCTCTACAGTGTTGCTGTCATAGGTCTGCTTTTCTTGACGTGCACTCCCCGATCCCAGGTTCTCAGCCTTTTTACCACGAACGGATGCTCTCGACTTGCGGCCCTGCTGCCCAGTGGCCAGGTGAAGCCTCTAAGGCTGAGGCTTGGCCCCGAGGGGATGTCTGGTCCCCATGTACTTTCCTAGGTGGTGGTCTGGTCATCCTCGAGTTAATGTTGTTTCACTTGTGGCTCCTGAGGCAGGCAAATCGACTCTCCCCCAACCCCGCCGGTGTTCGTTACATCAGCTCACCAAGAACCCCCTGTTGCATCCCCCGCACATACAGCCCCTCCTGTTTTCATTCAAGATTTGTTCATTTGATGAGCGTTTGCTGTGCATCAGACACCACGTCTGGGTGCACGTGGGTGAGACCCAGTCCCTTCCCTCAAGTAACCATTGAGAAAAGAGAAAAGCCACCCATCAAGTTAGAGCACAATTAGATCCCCCATCTGACCCTCCAAGGGACCGGGCAGGTGCTCAGGACTGGGGGAGTGGTGGGGGGAACCGGGAGGAAGCAGGTGGCTCCAAGCTGTCCACTGAGGGGACAGGTTGGAGGGTGGGGCTTGGAGATCGGAGTCACTGGCCTTTTCTCCCCACACCGTCGTCTCCGGGCGCCATTGGAGAGACCACAGTGGGCAGCTTAGCCCCCCGGTGCCTCAGTTTCCTTGTTTTAAAACGGGAACTATAGTTGTATCCAATTCAAGGAGCACATGAGGACTGGAGGACGGAGCCTGGTACGTGGTACATGCTGGACACAAGGGTTCCTGGCCCTTGGTGTATTCACAAAGCCCTGACTGCAGCCAGAGGCACCCACGTCTCACTGCAGAGGTTTTTAACTTTCAGTGCACATCACATCAGTAAGATTGAAAGGGAAGCTTTCAACCTTACTGAGTCAGGGGCCTGGGTGCGTGTGTGTGTGTGTGTGTGTGTGTGTGTACACATGTATTTCTGTGGGGGGTGTATGTGCGTATATATCTATGGGGTATGAGTGTGTGTGTTCTCTGTGGGGGGTGTGTCCGTGTACATGTGTGTACGTGCATGCATGTCTGTGACGGAGGGGGAGGGTTGTATGCATGTGTGTTAACTCAGGTGATTTCGATTCCCCCAGAGACTGGGGTAGCTGGGCTATGAGACCCTCCCTCTCTATTTTATCTTATCTTTCCTCCTTCATTGCTTGAATTTTTTTCCCATTTTATTATGAACATTTTCAAACCTACAGCAAAGTTGGAAGAACTCTGCATCGATCACCCGTGTGCCCACTGCTGGGTTCTCCACCAGCACTTGCGGTGCCTGCTCCAGCAGCTCGCCACTTTCCACCCACCTTTCCTTTAACGCACTTACAAGGGAGTCGAAGCCAGCCTTGCATCTTGAACCCTGAAGTGGGCGCCGGCAGGGCCTTCACTTGGCTCTCGCCTATATGTTTGGCATTGCCTGGGAGACCCTAAACCCTGAGGCAGGGACAAGTCTCCGTGGGGAACAGTCCTGGCCTCCAGCTCCTCACATGCTCCACCTCCACAGAGACAGGGCCTGTCTCCACAAACATGTGTTCGCGAACCTCGTTCAACTCATGCTTTTTTGTGCTGTGTGCCTGGTTTTCCTTTGTACCGTCAAGGGGTTGGAGCTGCACACCTCTCAGATAAAGCCCCACGGTTCTGTCCTCACCCCTCCCTCCAGTGCCAGGCCTCCTTTCAAGCGTCTTCAGCTTCATTTCTCATCTACTAGATTCAGGATTCTGCCTCTGGGAATAATCTCACCAAATTGTCACTGGGAGGGATACCTGGTAGAGGCCACACGCTAGCTGTTTTATTTAGTTTTCATTCTTTTGGAAGCATAACACACACATAGAAGATTGCAGGCATCGTAACGTGCAGCTTGGTGAATTTACAAGTTGAGCGCACTCGCGTAACCAGCACCCACTTAGAACATCAGCTGTCCCCCGATGCCCCTCCCGCTCTGGCCACCACCTCCGCCAGGGTGTGTGCTGCCCTGAGGGGTTGGTACTTGGGTAAATAGAATCCTTGTGTCTGGCTGCCTCCACTCAATGCCAAGCTTGCTCCATTCACTTGCAGCTCACTCCTATCACAGTGTGGAAACCCCAAAGGTCATGGTCTATCCCATGGACCTCACAAACTGTGCTGGCCACTGCCCAGCCGAGACGCTGTAGCCTGAGACAGAAGGAGAAATCAGTCATGCTGGACCTGTCTTTCTATGAAATTTTGATATTTTGTTCATTATAGATTTTTATATTAATTTTTATTTTCTTAAATATTGCATTAAGGTTTTTTTAATCTCAATTACTATGTTTTTTGGTGCCCCCTTAAATTTTGTGCTTGAGGCGAGTGGGTGGGTGTGGCCAGGTACCTCGAATTCCTCGTGCTCTGGTGCGTTAATGTCAGGTGTGCACACGAGGAGTGGGATTCCTGGTCACCAGGTGTGCATATTTTCAATTTCAGTACAAACTGCTGGACAGTTTTCCAAAGTGGCTGTGAGTCAGTTTCCAGTCCCTCCCACGTTGTATGAGAGTTTTAGGTGTCCCATGTCCTCATCAATACTGGATGTTTTCCACCTTTTTTTTTTTCATTTTGGCTATTCTGGTTCATTACGTAAAGGTATTTCATTGAGATTTATCTTGTATTTCCCTGATGGTTAATAGAGTTGAGCCCTGTTTCGTGTTTTTATTGGCTTTTTGAATATCCTCTTTTATAAATTGCCTGTTCAAGCCATGTGATCATTTTTCTTTTGCGTTATCTGTTTCTATTGATTTGTAGTGGTTCTATTTATATTCTGAATACAAATCCTTTGTCACACATTGTGAATATCTTCATTCTGCAGACTTGATTTTCACTTTTTTAATGTTTTTACTTGATGAACAAAAGTTTCTTGTTTTACCATATCCAGTTTACCAATGTTTTTTCTTTTATGGTTAGGGCTTTTGGTATCCGTTTAAGAAATCTTCACTTACTGTGAAACAGCCGACATAAGTGTGTTTGGACTGGGGATGGCAGGTGAGAAGAGTAGGAGTGTGTTAAGATGAACTAGCTCTCCTCCCTCCCCACAGTGACCTCACAAGTCGAGGTGGATTGGCCCCCAGGGTTGGGCGTGGCTCTTTGTGCCCAGAGCTGGCCTTTCTGCTCTTAGTCCTTCGTGCTTGGCGCCTGTTTTCAGACCCCCCAGCCCATCTGACACATGGGCTAACCACAGGGTTGACCACCTGGCATCAGAATCGTCCCAGGAGGCCCAGGCCACATGGCCACATGACTCAGAGCCTCTGCCCACGATCTGTGAGCTCTCCTCCAGAACACTCATCCTGGGTTCTGCTTCTTCCCCCCCAAGAATCTACACAGTATTTCCGGGAGGTAATCATGAAGATTTGGCCCAAAACATCAACTCTGTGAATAATCTCAGGCACTCACGGGGCAACTCTTGAGCTGTTCTGTGAAGTGTTACTTAAAATGCTGAACCACACTTATGGTGGGGTGCTGATCTGATCTGTCATCTTCCCCGTGGCTTTAAGAAGCATGACAAACCTCACAGCATACTTCGATGGCCAAAGGCTTTTCCCTCTTTGTCAGCTTTAGGTGAAAAGATCAGGAATGTTTGTCATTCGGGACTGAGCGGCTTCTTCAGCAATGAGCAGCGTGTTTGCATCCATAAGGCAAAACTAAGTGAAGGAAATGGAGGGAGGTGGAATTATCTGAGTTTCCCGACTTCCCCTCCCAGACTGAAGGTCCCCCTCACTCAGTACAGCTGGGGAGGGAGCATTTAACAAGATTATTGTTTTTAAACCAATTTGTGAATAACTCACACTTAAAAACAGGAAAATCACTTTGGGGGCTCCATCCCAATCCCCAAGTTGCCCTCCAAATTTGATTAACTTCACGTACACTGACTTTGCAAGAACAGGCATTCCTAAGTGTGAAAGTCCTCTGCCGAATTCTCATGCAACACTGACTTCTTTACAAGGGCACGCACCATGGCTCTGACCACCAGGCCCCTCTGTGGAGGGTGCGGTGGGAACACACCTGGCCTGGCTCACAGCTCTGCTGGAGCCGTGCCCACGGCTTGAAGTCCTCTATGCACACACTTCCACACGTGCAGGAACCTGGGGTTGCAGCCCACATCCCTGCCTTCCCACCCACCCTTCCTTACACAGACACCCGCTTTCCCCCTGGGGAGACAGAGTGGGACAGAGAGGAGTGGGCTGGAGGCAGAGATTTGGAATTCTTTTTGTCTGGAGCTCAGGGACAGCAGAGCTGCGTATTAAGTGGAAATGCCTATGTAAGACAGAAAACCCAGCAGTCCTACTGCTTGGTCTCTCAGTTCCCGGACCTCCTTCTGACAGCCTGGGCCCCCTCCTACCTGAGCCGCTACTTCTGCAGTTTCCCTTGTCCTCATCATCTCCACTAAAGGCATACCCTCCGCAGTGCCTGCGCGAGGACAAGCCACCCTCCGCACCCCCACTGCCAAGCTGGGGAAGCCCACTGTGACCTGCTGCGGTCACTACCCTCCAGGGGCCTTAAACGCTGCCTGGCAGGCTGCCCGGACACATCTCCTTCCTTCCCGTCGCCTCTCCGCTCGCTCTCCCCTCCATCCACAGCACCTCCTTTTCCCACCTGGCTGAGAGACAGGAACAATAGAGGGATCCTCTGTAAGTCCTGCCACATTGGCCTTTGTCCTGCATCCTGGCCCGGCTGTGTTGCATCTCCCGCTCCCAAAAGTGCTACCCCCAGCCTGTGTGCCAGGCGTCCACTCGCCAAGGCCCTAGCCCAGCACCTCCCTCCTTCATCAGCAGTTTCCCCCTCTTACAAATACGCCCTTATTCTCCCACCTTTAAAAAGAAATTCCTAGTCACGTGACCCCATCCGATTTCCCGCCCCCACCTCCCCATGTCTCTCCTTCCCCTTTGCAGCCAGATTCCTGCAAAGAACTGTCTATTCTTGAGCCTCTGAATCATCTTTTCTTCTGTTTGAACCCAGTCCGGTTGTGCTTCTGCCCACTACCAGGGCCCTCCTGTTACATCCTTAATGGTCTCCAGGGCCCTCCTTGTCACCATCAGCTCTGGACCTTGGTCCTGCCTGACCCTGTACAGTCATGGAAGGTGCCGACCATGTCCTCCCCCTAAAACACTCCTCCCTGGCAACCTGGCCACCACCCACTCCTGATCCCCCTCTGCTGGCCTTGCCCTTGTGTCTCCACCTCCTTGGCCTCTCACTCTTGGGGGGCTCCAGGGCTCAGCCCAGGGTCCCCTCTGTTTCTCACTTAACTTTAAACTAGATCTGTCTCTCCAGCCCAGACCCATCTCCTGGACTGCGGGCTCACGTGGGCCATCGTCCCCCTGATGTCTCGGTCGGGTGTCCAGTAGGCACCTTAAACTCAGTGTGTCCAAGCTGAGTTCCCCACGTGCTCCTCCCAAACGTGCTCCTCTTTCAGTCTTCCCGCCTCAGGTCTTGGGACCCCGCTTCCGGGTGTTTAGGCCCAAGCCCCGGCATTAACCTTGCTGCAACCCTCTCTTACCCACACCCAGTCTGTCCTTGCAGCCTCTGGCTCTGCCATATGAAACGTCCTGGTCTGACCATGTCTCACCACCTCCTCTGCTATGGCCCGGCCCTGTGTCCCCTCGCCTGGATGGTGGTGGCTGAGTGGAGTCAGGGCCTCACAAAGACACATGGCTGAATCGATGGTGGGGGCGGCGTGTAAAGGCAGAGCCGGGTGAAGAAGGAGAGCCCCTGACTAACCCTCTGCTCGTCCCACAGCACAGCCCCTTCTTTGCTGAGCAGCTGACCGCCTTCCAGGTGTGGCTCACGATGGGCGTGGAGAACAGGAACCCACCTGAGCAGCTTCCCATTGTCTTACAGGTGAGTGTCTCCAGGTGAGCCAGATTGATGAGGGAGCTAGAAAACCCCGCAGCCGCCTGGGAGGGGACTAGTTTATTGGGGCTGAGTGTGCTGGTGTGTGACAGCCCTCCTGCTTTGGAGTTAATGCCTCCTTGTCTCCCGGGCTCGCCTGGCAAAGTCACTGAAGCCTCTCCCCCCCCAGTTAAACACTGATCTGGGCTGTCGTCAGCTGCCCTCCCCTCTCCCCCCAGTGCTGCTGCCAGCAAGCTCCGTTCCAGCACGGCTCTGGCATCAGTGCCCCTTCTCTTTGGAAGGACATGAGATGCAAATCAACTGCAGAGAAAATGGGAGAGCCTGAGCAAATTACACACGCAGGTCGTGGCACCGCTCCCGGCACCTGTGGGTTGCTCACTTCCAGGGGGCTGTGCCCCGCGGTAGCTGTGGGCTGTTGCACTCTCTGGCTGTGCCATCAAGCGCAGTCACCCATGTGGCCTGTGTCAGTGTTCACGCGGCACCTGGTGCCCCACGAGTGGTTTGGGAGATCAGTTCTGTGGGTCTTACCCAGCTAAGTTTTGGGTAATGAGATGGCAAAATACCAAACTTCGTCACAGGCAGGAAGTTTAGGAAGTTTTCACAGAACTTTTGTTTCAGTTAATGTATATTTATGGGGCAGGTGTAGGGACCAGGTCATGACATAAGCAAAGCTGTTTTGCTCTGAGACAGTGTCAAATGAGATTTAAAACCACTGTCAGTGTAGATACAAGGCCTAATAATTCACTTTAGGCCCTGGAAGAGATTGTGTGCAGTGGGGATGAGGCAGTTGGTCTTGGGTGAGAACTGTGGACGGTTGTGGGAGGGGCCGTGCCCGCAGCAGGAGGAGTGGGCAGTTACGTCCGTGTCCAGTTAGGAAGTGGGGTCTTAAATTCTGAGAGCTGGCTGGGAAGACCATCACCTTCCCCTCAGAAAGCTGATTAGGTTGCTTTGCCTCACCTGCCCGAGGACGAGGCCTTGCCTCCCCCCAGGAGGGCCCCACTTTCTCACCAGGCTGCTGACCACGTCTCGCAGAAGTACCATTCATCTTCACTGGGCCCAACGCGCTCTCTGAGCGGCTCCCGCCGCCAAGGACAGTTTGAAAAATAGGTGAACGGCTGACCCCTGTCCCACCTGGAGCGTGGCGGGCCCCCTCCCTGCATGGTCTGCTCTCCCGCTCTGTGCTGACCGCATGGTGGGCTGGGAAGGTGCCTACGACAGAACTGAGGTCTCATCTGGCTCAGGACTGTGTGCCGGGACCCAGGCAGCAGAGCAGTGAGAGCAGTTTGTGCAGTTGTGGAAATGCCACCACACAGCCTTGTCCTCGTGGCTTGATAATTACATGGGCACAGGGTGTTGGTCAGGATCCTTCCCTGGAGATATTTTGGTGCTTTTTCTGTCTTATGACTGCTTATTTTCTGACATTGTGAAAAGAATGCAGAAATTATTAGTATTCCTCATGTGTGTTTCTAGATTAGTTTGACTATCTTGAGTTTGCAAGGTGAGCAATAAACAAATTTTCAAAACAAAACAAAATGAAAAGCAACGATAACAACACAACAAAGAAAACTCGCCATTTGGCAGGAGCCCACGAGTTCTCATGCAGCGAGTGGAAGGCTGACAGGGCTATGGGACAGCAGTGACCGGTTGGTTGCTGTGCTCCCCAGCTCCTAGGGTCATCCGAATTTTCATGAGAGGAGACTGTGGCCAGCCTCCACTGACCTTCCTATTATTTCAATAATGTGATAGATAAAATTGGTCCTTTCCAAGCAGGGGCACAATGCCCAGCACTGAATACTGCCTGGCAAACAATCCTGTTGTAAATGGCCTCCTATTGACTTTTTCTTTAATGTTCCATTTACAACCCACACGCCCTCAGGGAAAGAGAAGACCCAACTTCCTGATGCCAAAATGAGGGAATGACTCTGAAAGAAAAGAAAGGGGCATCTTCTGTGCGATCTTTCAGACGAACGAAACCATAGGTTCCTCATCATTCTGATGGGGGATCTGTCTGGGCTGTGTCCCACCTGGATCAGTGCAGGAACCTGTACTTAACAAGAAAACCCAACACAATGCAAAGGAGAGCTTACTTCATTTGGGGTAGCCTGTGGTGTTGGCTTCTTTCTCATTAATTCAGTTATTTTACCAGAACCTGGGCCCCATTATCCATAAATTATCCCCAGTGCCTTGGCGAGTCAGGAAGTGTTGCTGAAGGGAAAAAGAATTTTAATACAGAGATGTCACAGCTTTTCCAATCCCTGCTACTTTTTCCACTGCCAGAGAGCGTTTTCTCCCTCCGAAAACTCAGAGGCATTAACTGAGGATCATCGGGGTAAAATGAACTGTCTCCTCGGGCTGATTTGCAGCCTCTCGTGTAGATGTAAGCATGAACATACGCTTTTCCTGACCAGTCCTGATGTCCTTTTTCACCTTTTAAAAATACAAATCAACAGAAAGGACGGGAAGGAAGATTCTTGAGCCCTGCCACACTGCAAGGCCTGGCCCCGTGGTCTCCTGGTCTGGTGGCCCTGCCTGGACTCAGCATTACTGTCTGCACTCCCTCAGTGGCCCATGTGCAAAGAAGCCCCAGGCAGAGAAGGAGGAATCAATGTTGTGGAAAAAGAGAGGGAAGAGAGAAATTTTACAGGATTCCGTGTTAGTACCTTTATACAGATACTACAAGTCAGTGTGGGCATTTCATTAGGAAACGCTGTTTGCTTTCACGCCATCATTTTATTTACAAATAGAATTTTTGGTCTGAAAGTACAGGATTATTATTAGATGGCATCAGGATAATAACTGGGATGTTATTATTACACATATTATATTCATCGGTGGCTCCAGAATCTCTGATCATCAGATTCCTGGGTCCACCAGGCCAGGACTGGAGCTTGAGAATCTGGTTTTTAAGGAGCGGCTCTATCCAGCAGTCTCAGCGCAGAAGCCTGAGTGCGTTTTTGTGCACAAGGCAAATGAAAGGTTGTTGCCCTAGCAGCTCTGTTTTAGTTTGGGTATTTGTATCTCCATTATTAATCTTCAGTTTGGGTTGCCACAGACAGAAAGAAATCCCAGTAACTCATTTAGTTCACCAACGTTTATCTCTGTAATTTCCCCGGGGCCTGAGGCACACTGAAACAGGAATTTTTTTTTTTTTTTAAGTACAAATACAAACAAACAAAAGCCAGTCCTTTTTTTAAAAAGTAATTTTAATTTATGTTGGGCCTCAATATTTTTAAAATGTAAATCAACAGAAGGAATCACAGGAAGCAGTAACGTTTAGAAAAACCAATACTTGACATTTTCCCTAGGACTTGTTATTGATGCTGTTTATTTTCCAATGAAACATCAATACCCACAGCACAAAACCCTGCATTGCTGAGGGTCTTGAGTCTCTGAGACAAGTGGGCTGTCTGTTGATGCTTTAATGTGTGTTTCATCAACACGGACAACAGAGTCAGGAAAGATCGCATTGCAGTAGTGATGGTGATGGTTTCCCTTTTACTTTTGCCATCTGTAAATAACGTTGTAATGGAGACCTCTTACTGCTGGTCAGTGCACAAGAGAAACAAACAATGCAAGCTACGCGTGGTTAGGTTTCTTGGCCCAAGTTGCCATTTCTTCCACTGCAAAGTGCTCTGCTATTTACTTGAAAACACAGAGCTTTATTCACGTTGACAGTGTTTTAAATAACAAAGGGAATCAGTAAATAGAATCTTTACAAGTGTTAGATGTGTTTGATGTCTTTGATTTTTGAGGAATTACACCTGCTTTCACAAACCTAGTAAATGGAAGGTTCTGCTCGCCCTGGATCTCTAGAGACTTGAACCTCCGGCAGTTCCGTTTTCTTTAAAAACAAATAGGGAAAAACAAATACCATATGCAAACACATATATATGGAATCTAAGGGAAAAAAAAAAAAAGGTCATGAAGAACCTAGGGGTAAGACGGGAATAAAGACACAGACCTACTAGAGAATGGACTTGAGGATATGGGGAGGGGGAAAGGGAAGCTGTGACAAAGTGAGACAGTGGCATGGACATATATACACTACCAAACGTAAAATCCATAGCTAGTGGGAAGCAGCCGCATAGCACAGGGAGATCAGCTTGGTGGCTTGTGACCACCTAGAGGGGTGGGATAGGGAGGGTGGGAGGGAGGGAGACGCAAGAGGGAAGAGATATGGGAACCTATGTATCTGTATAACTGATTCACTTTGTTATACAGCAGAAACTAACACACCATTGTACAGCAATTATACTCCAATAAAGATGTTTAAAAAATAGGGAATTCCTTGGTGGTGCAGTGGTTAGGACTTGGTGCTTTCACTGTCAGGGCCCAGGTTCAATCCCTGGTGGTGGAACTAAGATCTCACAAGCCGCGCAGCACGGCAATAAATAAATAAATAGTCAATCAAATCGCTTCTGAGAGATGGAGACATCCTGTAGCTGGATGCTGACACCGAGACTAACATTCATCACACCCCTCCTACCAGACCGCGTTGTACCAGACAGGCTGCATCTCATTTGATTCTGAAAATAAGCCCAAGTCACATGTTATCTCTCCTCTTCTTGATGAGGAAACTGAAGTGTCCAGAGGTTGTGATTTAAGCCACACTGTGAGGAAGTGAGATAGTCAGGTCAGCTTGACTCCAAAGCCCATGCCTTTCAGCCGTCTAACCTTGCCCTCCAGATCTGTCTTTCCGCTGCAGTGGCACGAGATAACCCATGAGTTAAACATGGGAAAGGGATCAGGCCCCGTTCAGATAGGCCCCTGTGAGCAGCCCCACATAACCTCTCCCAGCTTCTTGTTTGGAGAACCTCAACTTCTCCAAACATAAAATGAACCACTCGATCATCTGTCTCGAAATAGCAATGTGGAAACAGGCTCCAAACCAGTGGGAAATGACATTCCAGCAGCTGAACCCAGCCACCTCCGCTTCCCTGACCCCTGGGCTGCCCTCAGGCTGGGAACACACGCTTTCGCCTCCTCTGCAGCCATGGGCCGCGCGTCCACCTGGGGAAGCTCCCCAGCCTCCCCCCTCCACCCGGGAACCCCTCCTCAGGAGCCTCGTGCTGCCGGGACCCCCTCCCCACTTTCCACTCCCTCCAGCATCTCCTGCCACCTCCTCTGTCCCCCACCTGCTGACCCTCCCTGCTCCCCACCCTCCTCCCACCAGCCCGTATTCACCCCTCAGAGGGTAGCCCCTTGAACCACTGCTCTGGCTGCGCCATTTCCTCACCCCTGTTCAGTCCCGACACCATGGTCCACATCCCTGCAGCCAGAGGGTCCTCTTCACGAGTCCCACTACTGATCCTCACCTCCCGGGAGCAGGTACACAGTTAAAACCTCCCCACCTTCTCTCCCACCTCCCTCGCTGGTCTCTCTACCCAGCTTCTCCCTTGCAGACCACCCCAGGCTGGCTGGCCCGTCCATCTGTTCTTTCCTCTTGCCTCATTCCAAATCTTCTCTTCCAGCGGCTCCTTTCCCTGACCCCTATTCCCCCTCCTCCAGCAGGCTTTGTCGGTCATGCCCGCCAGCTGTCTTGGAGTCTGTTTCTCCCCATCGGTCATGGCCACAGTCAAGTCCACCCATCCCACCCCTCCATCCATCTTCCTGCCAGCCTATTGCCTGCAGCAAGCACATTGGACGGGTCCCTCTGCTGCTCTTCTTAGGAAAAGCCGAAGCCCTTAGCTTGGTCTGCAGGTCTGGCTGGTTCTGGAGCCTCCCCCATTAGACTGGCCACCTGCCCTTCCTTGGGGAAGGCCCACATTTTCCCAGCCCCTCTGCCTGGAACCTAGGTACCCCACACGTCACCCACTGGGAGGGAGAGCTTTCAGACCCCCAGAGTAGGGAGTGGCCCCCAGTTGTCTGTTCGATGGTTATTGCAGTGTGGCTGCGGAATGTCTGTGTCTGGGCCAGGTGGTGATGGGAGGGGCCTTGCTGTTCCCAGTTGCACCCAGCACCGCACCCGCACACAGTAAGTGCTCTGTTCATGTGACCTCTGGGTAAACATCGTGAGGGAAAACTCAATATAAATGACTCCATTAAAGTTTAAAGCTTTGATATAACACAGGAAGAAAGAGAAAAATACGTGGCAGAGGTCGCTGTTTTTAATTTACAAAGAATCCTTTCATATCAAAAAGAAAAAGCCAGACATTTAAGTAGGAAAATAAGGACATGCATGGCCAGTTTACTAGAGAAATAGCCTATTAACCTATGAAAAAATATTTAACCTCACTTGTAATCAAAGAAATTCAGATTAAAAGAACATTTTATTATTACCTATCATGTTGGGAAATAATAGTGTAACGTGGGCTAATATTTTGCTGGTAGCTTTTAATTTGATATTTAATAGAACTCTTGTGGGTGGGTCTTGTGTTATGAATTAGGAAATTAAGGTTCAGAGAAGTTATTTTCCCAAGGCCAAGTAGCCCGTGAGCATCAGAGCAAACATGTCCTGGTGCCCGGTATTCAGCCAAGGCTTGGTGGGCAAGTTGGTTCAGCTGGAGGGCAATCTGGTGATATAAGTGTGTATGCTCTGACCCTGTAATTTTACTTCTCAAGTTTATCCTAGGGGAAGGGGAAAAAAACGTAAATGTGCAGAGATCTACCTGGTAGAATTTTTATCACAGCATTGTTTACAATAGCAAAAATTTGATAATAATTTAAGTATCTAGCAATGGGGAGATTGTTTAAATGAATTATGCACATTTACAGAAAAGTTCAGTGCTGCCGTTGGCAGCCATAATGGTCAGACGTATCTAGCTATGTGGGGTGAGAGTGAGGGTGTCAGAAAGGAGATGAGAAACACAATAGTATCTTATCGAATTTAGAACAAACAGGGCACGTTGTACATAGAGAACAGTGTCTGGAAGTGGATAGACCAGTGTCATCAGTGGATATTTTCTTAAATGAGGTTATAAAGTGTCTGTTCTATTAGTTCCTACAGCGTACACATAGTTTACCTGTTCATGAAGAAATGGAGCATTCCCAGCCTGTGTAAAGCATGAGCCATAGAGAAAGGGGCACCTGCTGACCTGGGAGAACAGCTCCTGGGGATGCTCATCCTGGCTCCGTGTTGCGGGGCAGGGGGTGTTGCGGTGACACCGCCTCTTCTCCCTTCCAGGTGCTGCTGAGCCAAGTGCACCGGCTGAGAGCCCTGGACCTGCTGGGAAGATTTCTGGACCTGGGTCCCTGGGCGGTGAGCCTGGTGCGTGCTTCCTGTGTCCGCAGTGGGGGGCACGAGACTCCACGTCACCGTCTGACAAATCAAGGGACCTTGGCCATGCGGCCAAGGATGACTGTGGGGGTGGCCATTAAGCCCGCAAGGCTCCCGTGGACCTCGCTTTTTGCACCTTCATTGTCACATTGTTGGGGGGCCCTTTCCCATCCGCTGTTAGGCTTCACCTTTGCAGGACAGAAAGTGTCCTTTAGGGACACTCTAGGGAGGGGCTCACCCCTGCCAGGCCAGGAAGCTGGCAGCCTCTGGGCTGAGTCCCCGGCCACACGCGGCGTGTGTTCTCCTGGGAGAAGCCTGCGAAGCCTCGCTCGCCGTCCTTTCACTGTGGTTTTAGGCACAGCTCTGAAACACTTTTCTATCATTCTATTCACAGGAGAGTGGAAACAGCCATTCAAAACACTGACAAAAATAGAGTCAAAAGTGATCCATTTTTTCAACACATAAATCACCAGGGAAAGAGATCAGGAGGAACCTAGAGATAAAAGGGGATTCAGGAGATCCACCACCAGGTGCAGGGTCTGGACCTTATACGGCTCTATTTGTAAATGAAAGTTTGAAAGTTAAAATTTGAAAAATTAATATTCATGAAACAATTAGAAATTTTACATGAACTGGATATTTTATGTTATTAAAGAATAATTGTTGAGACTTCCCTGGCAGTCCAGTGGTTAAGACTCTTTGCTTCCAATACAGGGGGCGCGGGTTTGATCCCTGGTTAGGGGACTAAGATCCCACATGCGGTGCAGCGCAGCCAAAAAAACCCAATAATTGTAATTGTTCATTTTTTTAGGTGTGGTAGTGGTATGTGGTCATGTTTTCATAAAAGAGACCTTATTTTTTAGAGATAAACACTTAAGTGTTTACAGATGACACAATGTGATACCTAAGACGTGCTTCAGAACATTCAGGAAAGGACGGTGGGTAGGGCCAGCCAGGATGCCACGCCCTTTCGGTTGATGGCGTTGAAGCCAAGTGATCGGCATATGGGAGTTCAGCATATTATTTTATCTCCATTGATGTATATTTAAGTTTTTTCATTGTATATTGTCAACCAAGAGTCATAATTGATAGTTCAACATGAAGGAGAAGAGGGAAAACCTAAAAATTAGGAAGAATGCACGAGCAGTCCTTGCTAGCCCTCTTATACTCCCAGGTGCCAGCAGGGAGGCCGTATGTAGCTCACCACAGGTAGACTCAGGTGGAGGCCTGGCGTGTCTCTTAGCTGCGTGGGCTCATGCAGCCCAAGTAGGCAGGCCTGGGTCGCTTCCAGGAGAAGGACTGGAGGTGAGGGAGGCACGACCCTTCCCCATGCAGCTCCATTAGTGCTGAGGACGCCATGCGCTCTGCTCCCTCCGGCGCGGGGCTGACGTGCTCTCTCTCGCAGGCCTTGTCTGTGGGTATTTTCCCCTACGTGCTGAAGCTGCTCCAGAGCTCAGCCAGGGAGCTGCGGCCTCTCCTTGTCTTCATCTGGGCCAAGATCCTCGCCGTGGACAGTGTGAGTAATGTCTGTCCCCCACCACCACAGGAGAGCTGCTGAGAGTAGGGCGGGGGGCCCGGCCCCACCGTCCATTCTCCCTCCTCCCGGCCTCACGCCCTCCATGGCCTCCCTCCCTCCCAGGAAAGGCTGTGCTTCTCCTGTGCCCAGTTCTGGTCTGTCACGCTGGCCCTCGACTCACCTGTTGTCTCTTGTGCGCTGCCCCCTCCTCACCCACAACCACCCCTCCAGCCGGCGAATGACCCTGCCCGCTTCCTTCTTGACGCTCGGCCCTACCTCACCCCATCAGTCTCCTGTCTCCAGCTAGTGTTTTTCCTCCCCAACCCTGACCCTGGGAACAGTCCCCTGGAGGCCCAGGCTGTCACCTGTAAGGCTCAGGCCGCGGCCCTAGCGGTCACTTCTCAGCCATGACAGCCCAGCCCAGCCCACGTCTCCAGCTCTGCTCCCAGTAGGCACCTCCCCACCCCTGTCCTCGTGCCTGTGGGTCTGCAGTCACATGGCCACTGCTCGAAGTCCTAGGCAAGGCCCTGTACTCAGAACTGTGCTGAAGGCCATAGGTGTCGCTGAGCTCAGCCGTCCCTGCCCTCGACACTGTCCACTGGGGACAGAACCCTCTGCTATGAGGCCGAATCCGCACACATGCCTGGCATGAGGGTGACTCTTCAAAAAGTCGAGAAATCTTGTGGGCAGGGCTGCATTTGTGTGCCTCAGTGTAAAGGAGATTATAACGTTAACCCAGGTGGCAGGGGGCCACCGAGGCCTCTGCTGCAGGAATTCATGCCCAGAGGGAGGGGTGAGGGTGGCCAGAAGGTGGGGGCTGCTGGACAGGAAGGGCCAGGGTAGGGGACGCACAGCTAACAGGAGGGCCAGGCAGGTGTGGAGAACAAACGGCTCTCGAGTTTGAACCTGTGTGGGGCGTGGGCCGGCTGTGTCAGTGACAAAGGGGCGCCGAGCGGGGAGGCGTGGTGAGGGGAGCGCTCAGGGGACCGCTGGTGATGGGGCCTCGTGGCCTGGGAGGTGGAGACTAGGGCCCTCATCTACCCGATGACAATGGCAGGCAAGTCCTCGAGGGGAAATGTGACATGAAGGCCCAGCGGGCTGAGGGCTGAGCTTCGGGGTCTGCTCTTCGGGGGACAGAGAAGGGAGGGTGGAAGGAGGTTGTCAGAGAGGGGAGGGCTGGGAAGTCTGATAACAGAACATGAAGAAGGAGGCTCCGGAACAAGGGAGAGCACTGGGAGCGGGACAGAGACCCTCAAAGAGGCTGCCGCACTTGGCAGTCAGGCTTCAGAAGTGTGTGGGGAGGGAGGCAGAAGTGGGGGCTCTGGGGAGGAAGGACAGGGTGCGGCCCTCAGCTTGCTTGAGGGGTTTGTAAGTGGGCAGACGAGTTGGCATCAGTGGTTGGGTTTGCTTGCTTGTTTTGAAGGAATGGTGACTTAAATGGTCTCTAGTTGGGAGAAAAGAATCAGCAGAGAAACAGCCATACATCTAATTGGACTTTGACCCGCTCGCTGTGTACATGTGCGTGTGCACACATGTGTGTATATGGGTGACACCCCGTGGCAGGGGCTCTTGTGTGAAGATTCTCTTAGTTCTTGCATCAACTCCATGCTATAAGTGTGGTTTTGTAGATTATCTGCAGATAAGAAAATGCTCATTTAAGGAGCTGCCCAGGAGCCCATAGCAAACCTGTAACAATTTGCTGTGAGCTGAGTGGAGCCCTTTCCACCCACAGGAAAGGGGCATCAGCAGAGCCACAGAGAAGGAGGGCAGGAAGCAAGGGCATCACCATGCAAAGGGGGAGACCATTCTCTGCTCTGCAAGGGGTAAAAGGAGAGAGTGGGGGACCTCAGCTCATAGTGTCAGCCCCTCCTTCCTGTCCAGGACCCCTGCGCCATTGAGATAGCCCTGCAGGCCGCCCGCTACCTGGGGCTCTTTTCAGCTCACACACGCACAGGGCTTCCACTCCCTAGCACCGGTGGGCCTGGAGGTGACAAATGCGTCAGGCAGATCCGGCCACCTGGTCCTGTCCCTACCGCCTTCGTGCATCAGTCCTGCACACTGCTGCCCGAACCCACTCACGTGACCCTCTTTGCTCCGGGCCCCTAAGAGCCATGCCTGCCCACTCAGTGAGCCTCTGACCTGGGTCCCCACGGACCTGGGCCCTCCTCTCTTATCTGGGCTCTGCGCGGCTGCTGAGGCCACTTCCCCATGCCGTGGCGGCTGGAGCTTTGCTGTGAGGGGGCTAAAAATGGGTAACGACTGCATGAGACTGTGAGTGTCACGGGGGCATCCCCAAAGAAGGTGTCATAGTCTGTGTGCCTCTAGGGAGAAGGCTGTCTTTCATTACGTTGGGTTGGGTTGGGGTTGGTGTCTGGAGTCATCTTGTGGAGCAGCCTTGTTGGTCTCCTGGTTCTGAGAGGTGGCCTGTAGGCTCCCGGGGCATGTCTATACAGACAGTCATGTGGACTCTCCCAGCCCTGCAGTTCGCTCATTTTCCTGGTCTAGCAGTACTGACTGGGAGGCTGCAATCAATACACCCTTGCATGTTCCCGATTTTAATGCTCGTCTTGATGCTGGGAACAGCCTCCATCCTCCTCAGTGCATCCAAGTCTGACCTTGACCTCAGTTCAACCTTGGCCCTTTTTGGACCCAGTGCCCTGCTGTGTCCAGTCAATGTCCTATTGCTTGTCTGCTCTGGAATGATGGCCAAAATATTCTATATTTCAACAAAAGATTTATCCTTCTACCCATTGAACTAACTTTGGATAAACAGTGACTTTAAAAGACCAGCCAAAAGCCTGGATTTGAGAGTTTAAAAAACTGAATTTAGGTCCTGTTGCCCTCAGTTTCTTAAGCCACAGCTATTTTTCCTTCCCGCGGCCACCATCTGCCTCTCCTTAAAGTTGTGGTAATAACACCGCCTGCAGTGTGGCTACAGAGATCAGAACTACGGTGTATAAAGCAGTTTTGGAAATTTTAGAGTGAAGGGAGTAGCGGTAAAACCTCATTTCTACCCAGCCCGCCTCTGCTACACTAAAGCCTTTTGTTGCTGATTGGAAAGCCTGGTCTTGTGGCTCAGGAAACTGTACCTTTTGGTCATTTCTACTTTGCCCTTTGTCAAATTTAATTGAAAAGCCAAGCTACATAAACAAGAGGGCTTTTCTGGGGAAGTTATTTCAGAACCTTCCTTGCTTCTCTCCTACTTCAATACCTTTGTCATCTGTATCACATGTTTAGAAATTCACTGGCACTGCTCTTGGTACCTGGCCATTAAGGACCATGTGCAAAGGTTCTGGATGCATAAAATGGAGAGACTACCATGACGCGAAGCCCAATGAAGGGGAGGGACAGAAAAGATTTCCCCTAAGAGATGAGGGGTGGCAATCGGCCACCCAGGCCTTCTCCCCGGGGCTACCAGTGCTACAGAACACCTTCAGCCAACTGTGATTCTTGTACTCATCAGGATTTTTAGTAGCTTTTAGTACCTGGAAATAGAGAATGTCTTTATATTTAGTCTTTGGAGTGGCTATTTCTGCTTTAATTTTTTTTCTTTACATGAAGGTAGATGACCCTTCAGAACTGCACTTTGCTGCTGAATTCTCATGGAATTTGCAGTTAATCATCGTAATCTGGTTTGAAACTGCCTCTTGGTCACATTTGTCTCTAGGGGTCTGTTTATCTCTGGAGCCCAATATGGGAGAGCTCATCGACAGCACAGATGCTGCAGTGCTCCTCCATTACACCTGCTCTAAGGCCATCTCAGGGCCTGCGTTCACTGTCTGCTTGATGCTGGAGGAATTACACATTTAATAACACTTGAGGAGCTGTTCCTGGGCCCAGCTGGAAATGTCCTAGCCTGCAATGTTCTTGTAAATGCAGGCGCTGGGACCATCCTCTGAATTAGCTCCTTAACCAGCTTGTAGCACCTGTTTATTTAAGGGCAGTCATCCCACTGAGAGACATTTTTTAGTATTTCCGATTGAGACAGCATCATTTACTTCACCCTTCCTTTTCATGATCACCCTGGCCTGAGTTTCCAAGAGATTAAAGTTCCGTGTGTTTCTGAGGAGTTGTTCCTCCCCTCCCCTCCTGGCATCTGGCCTCCGCGTACTCATATGGTATGTGCCTCCCGCAAAGCTCAGAGCTCCCGGAGTGAGTCCTTGATGTGGCCACCATGAGGGTCAGAAGGCATGTTGTTTGTGACAGGGACGCCTACCTTGGGATGAAGGAACCTGCACAGAGGCACAGACGAGGCGAGGCGTCCCGGCACTCCAACGCACTCAGCTGTCCCTGGGCTGCGGAGCTTCCCACCCTCAGGGCACTTCCCCAAGAGTTAAGAAGGTGTGGGCCCCACTCAGGCTGTACTCCCAGCTAAGGGATGAGTCTTGGGCCCCCTCTTTATCCCACAAGCATATGTTGAGCACACACTATGTGTCATTATGTGAGGGGCTCCTAAAGGATTCAGAGAATTACCTGAATTTTTTTTTTTGAGCTCAAACGTCCATTTATTTCAAAGCAGTAATAATTTAAAATTATAAAAACCTTTCCGCCGTCGAACACGTAGAGGGTGAGGTCGGATACAAACGGGAAGGGAGTCAGACGCCCGGCCCTGGGGAGGCTGGGCTCCCTCCGCAGCCGGGAGGGGCAGGTCCTCCAAGCCTCCACTGCGGTGGACCCGGTGGCACCGCAGTCCATGGGCGTGAGGGGTGCAGGGGGCTGCAGAGTCCGCAGTCCTGGCCCGCGGCCCAGTGCTCGCCCTGGGGGCCGGCCAGGATGCTCAGGAGCTGCTGGCTGGGTTCTCATTACCGGGCGAGCTGAAGGGGGAGGACAAGGAGGAGGAGAAGCTCACCACCGCCAGGCCCGGAGGTGGGGGGGGGGGGTGCCGGTGGCCGTGTTCTGTCCTGTGAGGCTTTTTTGGCAGATGGGGCAGCTGTCCAGCCAGGGCACGATGCAGCTGTCGTGGAAGAGGTGGTTTCAGGGCAGCTGCCGCACGCACTCGC